TCGTGTGTGGGATGTATCGTGTGTGGGATGTATCGTGTGTGGGATGTATCGTGTGTGGGATGTATCGTGTGTGGGATGTATCGTGTGTGGGATGTATCGTGTGTGGGATGTATCGTGTGTGGGATGTATCGTGTGTGGGATGTATCGTGTGGGGGGTGCGGTTCCGTGTGGGATGTGGTTCTGTGTCGGCCGCTCCTGCTCCCCACACAGCCTGGTTAGAGCAAAGTCGATCAGGTGACTTCGAACAGCAAATCCTCCTCTCACGTACCGAAGAACCCCAGAACTAAGGAAAGGCAGCTCAGGAAATTCCCTGACCACTGCACCGACCGCCCGACCGCCTCTGGCCGAGCGCCGGCCCCGCCGTTTCGCCGCCCACTCGGCCCCGGGTCCGCCACAGCCCACGGAGGCAACGGCCACCCCAGAGACCGCCCGCCACCCCCCACCCTCGGCCCCGCCGGGACCCGCCGAGGAACCGCCTGCCCCGGCCGCTCCCCCGCACCTGCCTCTGCTCGACAGCTCGGCGATCTCTGCGTGCGCCTGCCACCGATGGCCCCGCCCCCGACCAGGCCCCACCCCTTCCCTTTGCCGGCCCCGCCCCGATCAGCCCCGCCCCGTCCCTTGCCGGCCCCTCCCCTTCCGGCCCTGTCCCGATCATGCCCGGCCCTGGTCAGGCCCCGCCCCGGACGCGCCTCGCGGGGGCGGTTCGGGCCGTGCCGGGATCGCCCCGGGCTGGAGCGGGGCCGGGGCAGCGCCGTGTGCGGGGCCGGGATCGCCCCGGGCTGGAGCGGGGCCCGGCGTGGGGCCGGACAGGGCAAGGTACGTCTGGCGGCCGGACCGGCTCCTTCTCGTTATCTGCGTCTGGCGCGCCCTTTGTGTGGTCTGTGTTTTCCTCCGCGCAGGGGCTGGGAAGGAAAGGCGAGCTCTCCGTGCTCTCCCGGAGCTCCGCAGGGTCCCTTGGTCGGGAGGGGGTCCCGGGGCCCCTCCCGGGTGGGCAGCTCCGTTCCAAGCCCAGGGGCAGGTGCGCTTCTCCTTCCTCGATGCTGTTTAACTCGGGCGCTCCTTTTGCAGTGCCCTGGCCGGGGCTGGTGTAACTCCCCGAAATGCCCTTCCCGCCGGACGTGCTGCGGGACAGCCCCGCCCGCCCCGGGCTGCGCTCCCGGCCGTGCCCAGCCCCGCAGAGCTCCGGGCGTTGCGGGCCGGACGGGGCTTCTTTTCAAGTATTGATACAGAATCTATTGGTGAACCTTTTGCTTTGCCATGTATCGCTTGTCTTGTTTTAGTCTGCGATTACAGCCAGTGCTTTAAACTAAAAGAGTAAGACTTCAGTTTTAAAAAGAGCCAGTTTTAAAAAGCTATACATTTGCAGCACAGCAACGGTGCATTGAGCAGCCTTGCGTATAATATCTGACTTCTGTGGTTTGGACAGGAGTTACTCATTGAGCATAACAGTTTTGCAGATTATGCCTGTTAATGAAATGTGACCCTAATTTCCTTAGAAGACCAGAAGTTAGTACTTTTTTTTTGATAGTAAATGAAATAATTTTAATCAGATCGTATTTTTTTCAAGAAACAGAAACGATAAAGTGATTAAAGCATGTAACTTATGCCAGTAATCACGCAGACCTGCTTCTAGCCCCAACAGAGATTTCTTTCCTAGTTTTGGGGAAGTCACCTATGTCTTTACAACTTACTTTCCTTACATATATCGGGTTTATTAGGTTTACTACAATTTTAGTATGCTTTATATGTGTTACATACTTTTTTAAGATTGGTATTTCATATATATATATAATGAAAAACCCAGAATGTAACAGGCAGAAAAACTATGGACATTTTAAAATTTTCTCCCTTTGCAGTTTCATTGGAGCTCTAATTTTCATCCCCATGTGTGGATCTGTTCGCCCATGGGGAGATGGTTTTGCTCTGACATCTGTTCATTCGGACGTGCTTACGTGGTCCAGGATTTTCTGCCAAAGTTTTAAGAGTTCCTTGGAACTCCATCATGCTACAGGATTGCTTAACAGTGGAAAACAAATGCTTCCTCTCTTGAGAACTCCAGGAAAAAGGAAAAAGAAGGATTTTTTTATGCTGGAGCAGTTTGCTTTTTTTACCTGAGCAGCAGCAAAGGCGCCTGTGTTCTTTTCAAAAAATTTATTACTATGCTTAGTCATATTTCATCTGTTCCCAGAATGTGAAGAACTCAGCTCTTGAATAATAGTCTTCTCGAGCATTTATAAGAAATTTATCTTTCTGGTATGTCTTTTATTGCTAGATGACTAGTAGCTGCCCGAGAGAATGTTGTGGAAGAGGTTTCCATTCTGATCTTCTATTTTCACTAACAATGTCCTTATCCGTTACTTCTAAGATGGAAATTTTCTATGTTTAACTCTTAGAAGCTGGTTTTAGAGAGTGGTCAGTCATGCATGTGGGAACAGGAGAAATCACGGCTGGGCTTCGCGAAGGAAGATCTGGGGAGGGCTCTACCCACATTTGCTACAAGCGTGCTGGTGGCTAAAGAGGCCAATGCGAGATAGACAAGTCTGGTTGCAAAAGGCACAGCAAAAGGACTCCTTGGACAGTATTGGCAAGACACGATTCTTTCTGTGTTGTCTTTTCTCCTCTAGAGTGATCCTGCGTGCTTTCTCAAAAGCATCAGCAGAGTTATAAATAGTGTGTCTCCAGGCCTCCCGATTGGAGGCCAGAGTAGACCAGCGATGAAGATCAATATGGCCAAGGCTGAGGTGTTGTTTCAGGGAGTCCTTGTATCTGCCCACATGTGTCCTGCCAGAAGGTCGTTATGTTCTCCCTATGCTAATAGCTAACAAGTTTATATGGCAGCAGAGTTTCTGATCCCTCACCACTTTCTCTCCTCTTGTGTGCTGGTGGGACTTGCCTTTTCAGACATGTGAAGGGGTGGTTTTGTGGCTGGGGCAGAGGGTATCCAACTGCCATCCACAAATACCTTCCAGTGATCTGTGCTACTTCAGAATCTGACAAAGCTTCTGTAGAACGTCCAACACCTCTCTCCTGCTGACAGAGATCTGAGGAATTCTCTCCTCTTTACTCTGTCGCACCGAGAGAATCGTGATGCTCTGAAATAAACACTAACGTGCCACCTGGGAACTTTACAGGTGTAAACAGAGCAGCTGTAGCTCGCTGGCAGCAAGAACACTGTGTCCTGATGTGGAGGTTAGAAAATTCTAAGAGCATGAGAGGAAGGGACCAAAAAGTTGTGTGTTAACAATGTGCTGCTGAACAAATTTTATCCCTCTTTATACAGAATGCAAATCCAAAAGCATATTAGTTAGTATGACTTCACCTACAAATATACCAAAATTTTAAATGCCTCACATCCATTTGTAGTGATATGAGAGCTGGTAGCCATATTTTATGCAGAATACAGACTTCCACTAAGTGGCTGCTTTGCATCAGCAAAGAAATCTTGGGGAGACATGCTTTTTTTTAAAGTCTGAAGTTAATTATTTCACCCGTTTTCAGTTTACCTAAATAAATGGCTTTGCTATGCTTACGGAATTCTAATAAGTAAAAGCTGCATAATTTTCCTTCTCCCAAGTTTAGCTGGTTATACCATGATTGGGTATGTGCTTTACAACCTCTAATTATTTACTGTTTTAATGAATCTGCATTCTGTTAGAGCAATGCTCAGAGTTCTTTGCTAACATTTTTTTCAAGAGGGTAATATCCGTATTATCAACCTACAGGTGATAGGACTTGAGGAAAACATTTTAGTCAATAGACCAGACACTTCATTCTTAAATTCTTTCAGTTATCTGAGTGGAATCATAGGGCTTTGGTGACAATGTCACTGATTTTGGTCTAGTGCTTATGCTTTCAATAGCTCACATGCTAGCAGCTTTCCTTTTCTAGTAGCTGAAGAGAGTAGGTCCACTGCCAATGTCAGTCTTGTATCCTCTGTCATTAAAACTTTGCAGAAAAGTCTTCTAGTTCATTTGTATTCTCCTTATTCTTCTATGTGTCTTGTTGTTTATGAGTGCATTTTAGGTGCAGGGTGTGGGAATCAGGCACAGCAGGGAATCTGAATCCCAACATCTAGCAGAGTGGTAGGAAATGCTACATACACCCTTACCTTAACTAGCACGGGAATGTAAGCTCATAAAAATGTTTGCTGTTGGCAGAACTGCATCACAACTTTTCCTGCTGAACCCTGACCAGTGTCAATGATGGCAAGACTCCTAAGCGCTGCACCATATACCCTTTGGATCTTTTTCTTTTCATATGCAACAAATGAAGGTATGTTTGTCAATATTTTAGATTATTATACTGAAGTTTTTATTGACAGCATTTTTCCATGACCAGTAGGCAATGCTATTACCACTAATTAACTACTATAAAATTTGTAACTTCAAATATCATAAATAGCCTTATACTAGAATAAATTCTTAGATTTTTTTCTTTGCATTGAACTTTTCCATAGGGTCTAGAAAAATTAGAAATTTGCAGAAAGGAGAAACACATTTGGAAAGTCATTTCCTTCTGCATTATGTGATCTGCACTGGACACCTCTGAGATGGGCTCGGTTAGAGCATGGTGCTAATAATAACAAGGTTGTGGGTTCCATCCCTGTATGGGCCATTCACTTAAGAGTTGGACTCGATGATCCTTTTGGGTCCCTTCCAACTTGGAATATTCTGTGAAATCTGTAATGCCTGTGGGAGGCTTTTGCTACCTGACCTCCTTCCCCCGGTGCAGGAGGCCTGAGCTTCTCCTCTCTGGTGTGAAGCACAGGCAGGTAAAATGCTAAAGGAACACTGAAGTAACTCCTAATGAAATTCCTAAATTCTCTATGCCACCGTGTAGTTGCCTGGATTTGAACAGATTTGGCAGACCCTGGCTGTGACTTGTACCTGCGCAGGGGTGGAGGAAGAACGGGATCTGGAGTGTCCCGGCTGCGCTGTTGGCCTGGCAGGAGGTGTTGAGCCCAAGTGCTGCTGGTTCCTTAAGGGTTATTTTGTTAAGTTCAACTAGCAGAGGCTGAATATAACCATGTTTTTTCCTTGCATCTTTTATGATATTTGATTATAAATACAATTTAGATATATAAAGTCATGGTTTTCAGTAATGCATTTTTATTCTCTGGGAAATGAATTGTACATTTTGCTTGCTGTAATTTGTTTTACTAGTTCTGCAGTGTCTACAGTTTCTTAGGTCTCGTTTTGTTTTGTAAAGTAAATCAAAATAGTAAAAAGACAGTTTAAAATAGCCTGTCTCTAAAAAAATGAAGATTTATTAACTACTGTCTTATGTACTATGAAATACTGCAGTTGAATTAAGGAGAAGCATCAAGGTTTGAGAGAGTGCATTGGCTGGGTTATCTGATCTGGGTAATCCCATATTTTCTATAAATGATCTTTATCAAAGTTTAATTTTACAGTGTTTTCTTTGGGTTTGTTTGCCTAGTTAGCTACATGTTTTAAGTTTCTTCAGCATGGTGTACTATTTGACGATTAGACAAGAAATTCAGTATTTCAGTTCCCTTTTTTAACAACACTAACTCAAAATAAATTCTGTACTGTATGTAGTTTCAAAAGGAAAGTCTCAAATATTTGAGGTTTAAAAAAAAATATGGTGTACCAGAGATGGAAAAGCAAGAAGGTCACGGGAAGAGAGTCGAGAATATAATTTAGAGTTCTGAAAAGACATGAGGACACTGAAAGGCAAGATAAGGTAAAGCTGTTAATCATCGTAGCTTAACACAGCAGGAAGAACTTCATTTAATTGAAGTATTCTTGAAAGCATAAGATCATTAACACATTGAAAAATAATGTTCATCTTTAAAGGGCTTAAAACGTTAGTACTTCTGGCAAAAGTACATTTTAAAGTGGAAGAAACCAACCAATAAAATTACAACTGGCAGCCAAATATAAACAACACCAACAGGATAATGATTCTTTTAAAATAAAAAAGCAGTGTGACTGCTAAAGTGTTGCAGAAGTTTAACTTGCTGCTTTTCTGCTGATTCTTGGGGGTTTTGGAAGAATCAGGGACCATGCAGAACAAAAGGGAACCTAACATGGTACTGCCATCCAGAGAGGACACTACAGCGATAGTTCATACCTACAAGATAAATGTTACCTTAGTAACTAAACCAAAACATTTCCTAAGTATTTGAACACTAATGAAACCATGCCTGCAGTCAGTTCTAGGTTTATAAACAGTCAATATACCAGACAACTTAGATTATAAGTTTTACAGGTCCCATTGCGTTGTGTATCATGTCCACTAAAAGGCAGCTGACCATCACATTTTACATTTTCAGATGCTGTACTGTCTCAGAGTATGCAGAAGTTGTATCAGAAAAAATAACACAAGTGGACTACAGAAAAGTAGAAATGTAGGGGAGATAAAATTAAATTAGGTACTTTCAACAAAGTTTTTTGCTTGGGAGGAATAATCTGAAACTTAGGTACCAATTAGAAAGAATAAGCACATGAAGCAACAGTGGCTGAAGGACAAGGACCTTTCAGGATGTGAATTGCTGTCAACTGAATTATGCATTTGCAGTGTAAATGACAAGCATGGAGAGTTTCAGAAACTATCAGAAAAATTTCAATTAATAGGATTCTAAAAACCAATCAAAGCTATTTTTAATTTCTTATAGGAAACTGAGATGTAAAGTAGGAAAGAAGGATTTATATTTGCACAGCTTATGCAAAAAAAGGGAGGTATTATTATTTACCGATAAAAGAGAAGTCAAACATCAGAAACAGCAAGTAATTGTCTGGGATGATAAAAGTATTAGCTATTTCTGACTGCTTCACTGAGAAATGATCATACTCCAGGACCAGAGTTGGCAGACTGTTAGTCCAAATAACAGCATGACCTTACTGTCACATAGCTCCTCCTCTTCTGTTCCGTGTCTCACTCATATGCAGTGCATTGAAATAATAGAAAGTCAGGCTGGAAAGGATACTGAGGATTGTGTATTTTTTACTTAAATACTGACAGTGAAAGAGATTATAAGTTTGAACATGGAGAGTGCAGAGACTTTTGGCTTTCCTGTACCCCCCCCCCCAGTGCCTGGCACATTGTGACTGAGTCTCTCCTGGGCTCCAAATGCCCATAACAATTGCGAGTAGAAGGCAGAACAGGAAATACTGTGTGAAATGAAGAAAAGTGTATACTAGAAGAAAGTCGGTGGCAGGAAGATCATCTAGGCATTGGAGAGCTGCTCTGGGGAAGCAAAAGGCATGCATTTGGGAAGCTTAGAACCATTACAGGTAAAACATGAGTCATGCCTGTAGACAGTGATCCTAGTCTTGACTGTTAACTATCTGCATTTTGGTTTTTGAACCTTTTGTATTTAATAGGTGGGATTATGTGGTTCCGTAATTAAATGTCGATATGTTTTACATAAAACTACTGGAATTGGATTTTCTGTGCTTGGAAGTCTGGGTCGGATGAGTTGTGCCTTTTTATTTCAATATTACTATTGCAGACTCTTCTTCTCCAAGATCATAGACATTGTCTCCAGAAAGGTGGAGACAGTTGGTGACGTGCCCCTCTTGCCATTTACCTAGACTCAAAAGATAACAATGCTTTCAATTAATTTACAGGGGTTTGGTAGCTCTATTTAAATGAAAAAGTTATTGTTTCTGCTTAGTCCAGTTTATTCTTCTGATTCTGTTGCTTCTTCATTGTGTGCTACTTCTCCCTAGTTATGACTGCAGGACACATACAGGAATTTGCATGCTTCACCGACTTTGACAAAGAGCTGGTTTGTCACTGGAAGGTGCCAGCACAAACTAACTGTTCCAAAGAATTCCTGCTCTGCTACAGCAAGGACATTTCTTCTGTGTCGTAAGTGCTTCATAAGATGTTACACTGCCATTGTTGGAGCTTCCTATATCCTATAGTCACTATTGGCTTTAAATCCCTCCCTCTACCGTGGGTGTCTGGGACAAAATGTAATTCGGATTATTCTTCTTGCCAGGAGTAAAATGGGTTGCTACAATTAACAGCACACTCTGTTCAGTGGCCTAATCTTCCATAGAACTCTCAATTTTCTTAGTACAGAGGAGGGATCCTACTGGTAGGAGTGTTAGGGCTCTTATAAGTTAACAAAACCTTCATTTCATGCAAAATTTTACCTTCTTCATGAGAAATCTTACCTTATTTACCAGTCTGTAGCCTGTGTGAAAGGTACTCTCCCTTGGAGCCCAGGTGATTTTGTCTGCATGCAGTCGAACTCCATGTTCAGGCATAGACTGTTGTGCCTGTTCTGCAGCAGGGCCAGTCATCATTTCCTGCAAAGGAAGATCTGGATTTTCCTGTTCCTCTCTGTATGATTTCACCAAACCCCCATCCAGATAGCCTCGCTCATACACTGCAGTAAGCCTATTCCTATACTAACAAGCTGTTAGTCAGCTCTTTCAGGGACTGAAATGTGACAAAGGGTGGTAATTTTTCTTCTTGGGATCAATCCTTAGCCTTTCTGTCAAGCTTTTCATTTGTGCAATTCAGATATCCAAGGGGTATCTGTGAAGGGTGGGTTGTCTGGGAATCTCAGTTGTGGTTTGGAAACGTTTCCAGGAACTGAGCTTGTTTGTCTCAGATTTGATTAACTCTGCACATTGGGGAGCTTGATTTCACCTTTTCAAGGAATAGTGTGTCACACTCTCTAAACATCACATAATTTTGTGCCTGTTTTTCAGAAACGTGTGTGTTCCTGAGAATGGAAAAGACACTTTAAGGTGCATTTGCACAATATGTCCTGATTATTTTGTATCAGGCCTCACATATATTTTAACTCTACAGTTCAATGGGACTAATATATGGAACTACAGTGTTACACCAGCCCTTGTTGGTAAGAAATTGTTTTGATGTCTGGTTCCAGGCTTTGCAATCCTAGATTACTGCTCATTCATGTCACCAGAGCAGATTTTCCTTATCAGAGGTGGAAAGTGCCACGCTGGCTTAAATGCAAGATCTGTTTCTCTTAGAAACCTAATTCTGGATTAGATTCCTAAGGAATGAGTATAAGTAATGGGGAAAGCAGAGGGTGATTCTTTGTCTAGCTGTACTCTCTCAGCTGTGAGCCAGCAGCAGTTTGGGGTCTTAGATTTTAATGCTTTTTACTTGTGGCTGTAGAATTACAGGATGAAGAGGAATGTGTTACTTTCAGTTTCTAGAAAGACACTAGGCTATCCCTGCTGAAACTTCTTCCATTTCTGTCTGTCATACTCTGATTTTTCATGCAAGTTAAACCATGGCACGTGAACAGAAGATTTTTTTACAGTAATTGCTGATATATTATAACAATCAGTGATTAAAAGTGCATAAATCTGCTCTCTCACAGGACAGGGTGTAGATACCCTCATGTCTCTCCCTAGGCCCCCAGTTTGTTCAGAACAGTGTACGCATTGTTAACGTTTGTCACCTCAAACACTCAGAGAAATCACTCACATACCTTAGGCAGGTCAAGGAGTTGGTTCACTTCAGAATACTTGATTGTTGCTGCTGCTTAGCAGCCAGATAAGCAAGAACCTGCCTTGGTTTCCAGGAGGCAGGGAGCCAGGACAGCTTGGCTGTCCCACAGCTGCTCCTGTCAGAGCGCAGGCTGTTCTCGTTTCTCCAGGCTGAAAGCTGTGTCCAGTGCACCAAAAGGCTGTACCTGCAGTTTGTTTAGCCAGCTTGAAGAATCAGTGCTTGTTAGTAAATTCCTTGAAGTTGCTCTGGTTTGGCCTCTTTATCCTTGTGCTACAGCATACTGAAAAGGGCTAAGTGCTCTAACAGCAGTGATATTCTGGTCTCTGGTGAATGCTTGTCACTCTGATCTCTCCATCAGTTCTTTCCCATTTTCATGTTCTCCTTAACTGTATTTTTTAACATACAGTTAAGCCGAGGGCCCCCAAAAATCTTGCCATTGAGAAGGCTGAAAATGGTAATTTCAATCTGAGCTGGGAGGAGAGCTACTCTCCTCCATCCACGCTCTCTGGACAGCCAGTCATCTATGAACTGAAATACTGGAGGAAGCAGCACCCGATGGAGGTAAGACACAGCTAGTAGTCTCTTCATTTTCAGTCTCTCTGGAGCTTTCAAGTTTAACAAGTCCTCTGAAAATTCTTGAAACCACTTCATGAATAATGGTGTAAGGGCCAGCAAGGGCAAGTCTCACAGTGTTCCTGATCATACAGAATCACGGAGTTCCACCAGGATTATCAAGTCCAACTCTGAAGTGAATGGCCCATACAGGGGATTGAACCCGTAACCTTGGCATTATTAGCACCAAGTTTTAACCAACTGATCTAATCTCAGGGTCACTTGCCACAGGTCACGTTGCCCCAAGGTGATTCAGCTGGGTGTTAAAGGACTGAAACTGTTCTGACTGTCATCCCAAAATGGTCTGCTGCTTGCAATAGTCAGAGATTGAAAATACAGTGCTCCTGTTCCCTGAACTTCATTTGCTCCTTAGATATCAGGAAGCTGGATGCTGTTGGTGGCTCCATGGAGCACCTGAGGCACTTAAGACACCCTCTTGAACAATGAACAATCCAGTGCTTTACAACTGGGCTTCTTCTGATAGAAGAACATGCATGGTGGCATGTCACAAATACCCCTGATGACAGCAAACTGCAGTATTACACACAGTCATTCAATTGCTCATTTGTGAAAGATCACTGAAACACGTAACACTACTGGTATTAGCTGCCATCACTAACCCTTTGCCTTATAAAGAAATCAAAGTGAACTTTCTCACTTTTTTTCAGGTTTCTGTAAAAGCAATTAACTACCAGGCAAAAAGCTTTGAGATTACTGCAAGCTCCCTGAGGAGGGGCTATGACTACGTTGCAAGTCTCAGGTGTAACTACACAGACTACCCAGCCTACTGGAGTGAATGGAGTGAAGAAGTTGAATTTCACTATGGTAATGCTGTCAGAAATAGCAGCTTGGGAAAAGGATGGTATAATCTTCATACCCTGCTGCTCTCCTCTTGGAGGAGAGTTACGGAATCATCTTCTTCATTGTTTTGTATGTTATGTCAATACGTCTGTAAAGGCTTCCAAAGACACTAACCATAAAAAGGCAACTCCTGGGCCTCACAGTGTACATTGGCTCTCCCAGCAGCTAACATTTCCAAGTAACTGGCCACAGTACATTTGCTGGTCTCTGACACACCGCACACCTTCAGTATGGCAGACCTGTGGGGGTCTGTTGTTTATCTGCTGGAGGCTCTAAAGAAGCGGTTTTTTAAGGTGCAGAAGAGCAGCAATGAATTTGGTATTGCCAGTGCTTTTATTTAGATGTACACTCACATGTAAATGTCTGGGGTTTTTTTAACAGATTATCAAGTAACAGCTGAAGACATTCTGCAGATGGCTGTGCCCATATCCTGCATACTGATCATGGCAGGATCTGTCATTTGCTACTTCTGTTTTACAAAGTACGTATCATACTGGCTCAGGGTTTATAGAGCAATGGCTTACACAGCCATCAGTATTGCTGTCTGCTAGTACAGGAGTCTGATGGTTTGGGTTTTCTCAATACCTTTATCAGCTGTCTGAGCAGACGTTTATAAACACGAATCAGTTGTGCTCTTTCATTTTCTGAATAGTCTCTATTAATCTTACTAGGATGGTCTTGTTATAGTAGGGGTTTGTCAGTTTTGCTGGAGTTCCAGTAATGATGGTTAAATGTCTATTTCTTTTCAATTTCTTTTAGTGGCAGTGTGAAAGTGAGATCCTATCTGTTTCACACACAATTTCAAACATGATTAGAAGAACATGTGACTTGCATTGTGCAGAGCAGTCACATACCAAACATATAAAAAACACCTTTACACTGGTTTAATGAAAAGCAGCACTTGGAGATGTACAGAACAAGCACTTCCTGTTGCTGCAATGCAGATGCCTGAGAGGGAGAGGAGAACAGAAGAGGGAAATATACACTGATGAAGCCCAAGTGGTCAAAACAATTTTCATTCTTCCCTTGCAGAGTGAAGAAAGAATGGTGGGATGAAATCCCAAATCCAGCAAAGAGCCATTTGGTTGTAAAAAATGTCAAGGTAATTTAAAAACTTTGCAAAAAATACCTTTTCCTGATCACCAGAAGGAGAATGTGTAATAAGTGCTATTGTCTGTCTAGTGCAGGAGATACTAAATACAATTCATATGTGTCCTAAATCTCATTTGTGTCGTTATTAGTTTTCAGTTTTCTGCTACTTCGATGAAATTAAGTTCCCTTTCCATGAGTTAAAGCAGAGTCATATGGAAAAGCAAATGTAAGTAAGATATTAAAAAATACACCTCTGCTTTACAGAATAAAGTAGTTTCCTGTTACATAAATATTAACTGTCCTTTCCTTTTGACTTCCAAAAACAGAAGTTGCAAGAACTGTCTGGCTCAAAGTTTGTCAAGCCAAAACTTCAAGGGAAAAGATAACATCAGAAATGTTGAGAAATCTTGCAGCTGCCACAGCAAGTGTGGAGAGTGGTTACCAAAAGGCAGCAGTGCAGTTTTAACCCCTGATACAACTCCATTTGAAGACATTATTGAAATCTGTGAATGTTTAACAGACAGTGAGACTGGGAGCCAGGAAGAGACTGGCAATCAGATCACCATGTTTGAGCCTTGTGAGAGCAGCATCGGTGCTTTCAGAGAGCACAATGAAGCACTAGCTAACATGTTTGATGCACTCCTGGCAGATGAAAATAACATGCAAGACAATAAAGACCCAGACATCCTCACAGGTGAGGGGAAAACCTTCAAGAAACTTGAGCTGGAAAATCCACCACAGCGAAATCCAAAAGAAAGCACAGCCCAGAGTCAGCGGCCATGGGATGTTTCTCATACAGCCTCTCTTTTCACCAAAGCCTCTCAAGATGACTACAATTGTAGTACATCCAGCAAGGAGTCAGAACTGTCAGAAGAATCCTTTGAATCTGGCTATCAGAGCTCCAGCATAAATTCTGCTTCTCTGGATGCAAGAGATCTTCAACAAATGGTTCATCAAAACCTTTTTCTACACAGTTCAGAAAGTGAGCGGGACTCTTGTGTCCTGATCCAGGAATCTACAAATAAACCATTCTTTGGGACCAAAACAGACAGAATAAACAACCCTGCAAACAAGAGTTTTGATACCCTTGTGTCTGCACCTGTGAGGTTGTGTGGTTCTGCATATAAGAGCTTTGACTCCCTTATGTCTCCATCTGTGGAGCCCTGTGGCTCTGCCTACAGGAGCTTCAATACCCTCATGTCCCAGTCCATGGCCAACAGTAGCCTGACTTTGTGCTTTGAAAGTGCATGTTCCTCACAGCCTCCAAGACAATTGTCAGAGACACCAGAACGCAGCTGTAGAGATCAAATTGCTCAGGCCGCTGGCAGTGGGACATGTCATGTCAGCTACAGATCTCCCTACACTGAGCTTGACTTTCCAAACACCTGTTCAGAGCGTACTGATTTTCCATCTTTCTCCACACATGCAAATGAAGGTGCTTCAGCTTTCCTATCAGAGGAAGAAATACATAAGCAAGTAATATATCAAAATTTTCCAAAGAAAACCAATATAATATCTTGCCCTATTGCACCTCAGCCATCAGGTTATCAGCCTTCTGATAGTGCAGGTAGATGTAATGGTCCATACTGTGACAATGAGATTATCTCGTTACAGGAATCCTTCATTGGTCCGTGCAGCAATATCAAAGAAGCACCTCCAGATATTGCAATCTGTGAACTTGACCTGAGGACAAAGGACTGTGTGTGTTTGACTGTTCAGAGTCCTGGTTGCAGCGTTGTCCCAGGTTTAGCCTCTAGTGAGAACGACACACAGACCAGTAAAGGCAGCCCTTGGATTGATAGCTCTAATGAGCAGTCTGGTGATAGCAACGACGAAAATATCAGCAGAGAGGAACAGCTGTTGCATTTGTTAGAGCTGAACTGTCAAGATTTAAACAGCAGAGAAAGAACTACACAGGGAACAAAACAGAACAGCTTTAACCCTACTGGCAAAGTAATGCAAGAGAGCGGCAATAACAAACTGAATACTGACTGCCACTGCCACCCACACAACCACTTGAGGGAACTTGGAGATGCAGGGGGAAGTGAAGAGATGCTGAAGCATGTAGAAGGGAAGGGGAGTGGCTCAGCAGCTGGCTTCCCAGCATCACTGGACAGCATTAGGCTAAACTTAGGCAGAAAAACTGCAGGGCCCCTGGAGCTCCACATCTCAGACAAGCTGTCGCTTCATTGTCTTGTGAATAACTCCAGTCCTTCTGATTCTCACACCATTCACAGTGAGGACTCCAGACTGGCACTTGCAGTTAAAAAAAGACCAATAGAACTGTTAAGGGAAAACAGCAGGAAGAATGAGAAAAAAATGAAATTTGCGCAAGCCCTTGCCCAAGAGGACAACTGCTATATGGAGGTAGCTTAGCCACATTTGCCAAAACTGAGTGAGCCTTTGGAAATAAACTGTATGGCAAATTGAAATGTTGCTTGTTATTTCAATCTTGACTGAAATGAGGGCTGCTACAGGTCACACGTCTTTCAGGGGGGTGTAGCACTAGTGTCTGCCTGGGACTGGCAGCCAGGAGGTGGTGCAGGCCCCTGGGGACAGCTGGGGGTGGCACCCATCAGCTCTCCTGGGGTGAAGCCAGAGCTGAAGTGTCTCCAGCTGTGAGTGATCTCTAAAAGGGAGCAACAGCTGCAGGAAGCAGAAGTTCTTAGTACAGTTCCTGTGGTTATTGCCCTGGCTGTGTGTTGCTTGGGAAGCACACAATGTGGAAGGTGCTGACACACATAGAAGTGGGACATAGATGCAGGTCAAAGGGGAGGTGACTGACTTAGCACACAGCTTCCATAACTTATTTCTTTTGGGGTAGGGGGTGTTGTCCTGTGTGCCTAGCCCTAGCACAAGGTGTATGTTTCCATACCCACTCAATCAAGACATGAAATACAGATTACTGTCATTTGGGCTTACACAGTGCTATTATTGGTCATTAGTTTCTTACTCTGTAAAAGCAAGGAGAATTACTTCATACTTCTGCATCTGTAAATGGCATCAGACATTTCTAAGCAGTGTTTACCCAGAAAGCTTATCTAATGTGTGGTCCAACACCGTACCTTCATGGAACATTTTTTTGGCTTCTTGTTCTTGTCCAGTTGGAATGGGAATTATGCACGCAGCTTAAAGGCTGTATATACTTCTTGTTAGATAATTATTCAAGAAATTTTACTGACAATTCCAAACTTCTCTACAGTGTTATCATATATTTTGATATGGTAAATTCCACCCTAATATGCTGGCAGTGGTAAAAAAAGTTAAGAACCATCAAGTAGTATTTTGTGTATTAGAATGCATACATGTATTCTCATTTAGAAAACCCTATTTGTATTACCATTCGAAAGGAAGGAAACCATAATGCTAAGCACAGCAACTGGTTTTAACATATTTTGTAAGTAAAATTTTTGTACTGCAAATCTCTCTTCCGAGTTGGCCAAGTAGTAGAGGTAACTTTGTCAATTTTATGACACTGAAAAAAGGGTATGTAAGCCCAGGAAGGAGATTTGCAGCGTATCTGTATTTAGATGGGATAGTTAATATTTGTGCAGGCACTGGGTTGTAGCTCACTTTCACTGTGGTGGTGGTTAGTGGAAGATCTTGCTTGTAGCTAAAGTGTTGATGAACATGTTATTTATTTGTTTTAACCAAAAATGTCAGATTAAATTTTATTTTCACTCAGGAGAGGTTTGATTCTGTCAGAAATACTCTTTTCTTTACACGAGGGTGGTCACTGCTGTAGTTGGCATCAGCACAAGTTCTGTGAGATGGGAGGCTGTGAGACACACAGAGGAAGGTGCTTTTCAGGACCCATCAGCCACAGCTGCACTGGAACAGTGAAACAGCAGGATGCAGAGAGGCTGTGGTCTGCCTCATAAGTAAGCTGACTCCACAAAGTCAAGTTTAAGCAAAATCCAAGAGTTAATACTGTTGCCTGGAATGGGTTATTCCCTGTTTACTCTAGTAGCACAGGGATCTTCTGCAAGGTGCAGGGACGCCAGTGGTGATTTCTTCCCCTTCTATTCTTGTGCTCTTCCTTGTGTTCTTTGTGAAATCCTGCAGAAAGGCTTGTGCTTGGCTGGAGAGGTCTGCTCAGGCCAGGATTGAAAAGCTGTTTGCTGCAGCACTTGGTTCTCCCCAGCTGCATTCTGCCTTTCCCTGGCTTTTTTTCTTCTGCATAGCTATGCCCTCTGGTCTGCCCATTTCCATCGGATGGCTTTCTGTGTGGGGGTATTCTTCCCTTTCTCTCCCTTCAGTGTTTCTCTGGTGAAATCAAACGGTAACTCTTGGAGAAGGGGGATCCCTGTTCCTATACCGTTGTATAACCCAGAACTGGAGATAGACAGTGGGGCTGGGGGACAGCTGTCTTTGACTCCCCCTCGTCCTGCGACAGACACAGGGCCTGGCTACAGTGGGAGCTGAGTTCACATTCCATACTCACTTTTGCCATCCAGAGCAATTGCCAGGCTCTGAAACGCAGGTAGGCTTCAAATGACAGGTTTCCAGCCCAGACTGGTGATCTGCCCCCTGGGCAGTGTGTGGGAGTTGTGACTGTGGGCTGGCACTGAGGGGTCTGGACTGAGCTCACCACCTGGGGACCAGCCTGTGCCTGCAGAGGCAGCTCAGCCTCCTGAGAGAGGAGCTTCCTTCCCAGAGACTGGAACCCTCCAGGCATGTCCTTTTGCTAGTGGAGGGCTCCTGCCAGGACAGAGAATTACTGATCATAGTAAGAGCATTTTCAGTGGTTTTCAGTTTGTTGGGAAAGGCTGCAGTGCAAGTGGAGGCTTGTGCCAAGTTTTAGCCTAGTTGTAATGCCATTTATTACTCACACAATCACTCCACCTCCACATCCTTCTCACCTGGCTGCCTACTAAATATTAGCAACCTGGCTCATCATGAGTGAAACAGGTTCCCAAGAAAAAAAGCTGGTGTGTTCCCAGTTCAGGAGAAGCTAATTCCGATACACTTTTTTTTCCATCGCAGAAGTGCCCCAGGCTTAGATTTTTTTGTTTCTCTTCTGAGCAGTGTTGGCTCCGTGGAAATATGCAGCTGTACGGATCAGCTGTTGACAAATTCTCATCAATGACAAGGTTTTTCATTGCCTGTGGAAAACTAACAATACCCACAAGACTAGTATGGAGCAGGAGCTTGAGGATGTGGAGTCAAGTTTTTGGGGGTAGGGACAAGTTAATTTAGGACAGGGTCAGCTTTTTAAATTACTTGCCTCTGCATCTTGCTTTGTGACCCTGCATCACTGAGGCAAGATGCAAGGATGTTCCAAGTGTTCATCCACCATGAGCTTTATCTAAGAAAACCAGTTCTTTTAGGTGTTGCAGTGATAGGGCCAAAGGAACAAAGGGTTAAGAGAATCAAGTGAGGGGGTTGTGACTTCCAAAACCCTGTTGCCTAAGGTTTACCTCTGACTGTAGAATTATGTGTCAAAACTCCTTAGTGAATAGAGGCTGAGAGGACAGTTTTTGTTCTCCTAGCCAAGTCTTTTCTGTAGAAAACCCCTTGGGGAACGTGACTTGTGCAGTTTGTGTTCTAGCCCTGACAGAGGTGCTTCTAAAGTGTGTTATTTTGCATGCAGTTGCTTTCACAAGACATACATGTTTTTTACTAATATTGGGGGAACTGTGCCTGTGCAATGCCCAGGTACGTGTGGACATGCACAAACACACACATGGATCATGTCCCACCTCTGCAGATTGCTGAGTACAAGGTCTGCCCCAGGCTCCCATGTGATGATGTATCATGATCTCACATTACCCGGAATTTTGGGTTTTTTCACCACTCTGCTGTGACTGAGCCATGTTGTGCCATCAGTGTCTCATCAGCCCTTGCAGCCCTCGAGGCCCCTCCAACTGCACCGCAGTGACGAGGTCAGAAGCCAAGGAATAGCTCAGCAGGAACTTGCTGGCAATCACAGCAGGGAGACCAGTGAACTGGTCTGGTTTGCAGCTGCAGGACTGTCATTTCTCAAAGCAGCTTGTTCTGAAGCAAAGGAAAAAACAGTCAAGTGAGGAAGAGAGCACTTTCCAGGTACCTCACTAACACAACCAAAGTTAAAGCTTGCTGAATTGCCATACCTCAGAGTGTTTTCCCAGAGTGTAATAACAGCTGTCAGCAGCACCACTGGTTTGCTAAATCCTGAATGTTCTCATTCCTTGTGACAAACTGAGAAAGCGATGTTGAGGGGAACTTTACATCTCAAGGTGCTCTTCTCTATTTGTCCCTTTTGTTGTCCTGCTTCCAACCTGTTCCTTCTATGTCTTTCTGTATGGAAATTTCCATACCATTGGCTGTCTACCCCTCCAGCAAGTCTACAAGATGAAGGGGAAAAAAAATAGGCTGCAGAATGGGGAACTGGCTGCTGTGGCACATTTAGCTGCATGAGAGGAGAAGCAGCTTCTTTTTTAGCTCTTAGCCAGTATACTCTCTATAAAACTCTGACCATCTGTGCAGGAGACCTAAGTTCCTGTATTCTGAATGCAGAGTGGCAATTGTCATGGCAAAAGTTGTTGCAGTCACAGCCACAGCCTGTCTTTGGTAGAGAGATGGCTGCGCTAGACCTGCTCCAGTCCGTGGAGTGTGACAGACATCCTAAGGAGCTCCTGTCCCAGTTCAGTGATGGATCAGCTGCTTCCTTCATCATGCTCCATTGTATAAGAGCAGGGCATTCATAGCAGTGTGGTGTTCATCCTCTGCTTGAAGTTTACTGAATTGGTGACTAACACATAGCACTGGGACTTTCCTGCTTGCTGCTGTTTCCCCAGCTCTTAGACATGGGGAAATTTGCCGTAAGCTGAAGAGTTTGAGGTTGGCTGCTTTTCCCCAGCTCAGCTACTGTTGGTTTCACTTGCAGTGAGCCACCCACACAGCAGCAAGAGCTATAATGAGGTGAGAAAGCACTAGACTGTGTTCTGCGGGTAGAATTTCCATACCTGGCTGAGGGTTATAACCACTCCCCAGTTCTTGTCTTGAGGCTGTAGAGTTGCTGTGAGAACCAGGAACGCACTGGCCATGGCTGGCCATGGAGGCAGTGCCTGTGGTGAGTAGCCAGCTGAGGTCTGGAGGAGCTGGCTCATACTGTGCTGCAATTGCTGACCAGTGCATGTGTCTGGCAGGCCCTGGGCTTGAAGGTTGTGCAGGGCAGTTTGCTGCTGGGTGGTCTGCCCCCTCTGCTGCCTGGCTGAGGTGCTCCAGAAGCACATAGTTCGCTCCTACACGACAGGGGCAATGAAGCCGTGATGTGCCTTGTTTCCTTCACTAGGAATTAAGATCCACAGTTTGATGTGTGCTGCCTATTTCACAGCCTCATTCTGAGCTGTGCTGGGCCCCTGCAACAAACGATCTTGTCCGGAAGCGTCACGGGTTCTTCCCACTTCTGGTCAAGCCACCTTTCCTGTTCTTACCACTTAAAAACCTTCAGCTGTACTCCTGTATTGGGTTTGCATAGCAAGATTTTGTAGCAGAGGGGGCTACAGGGATGGCTTTTCTGAGAAGTCACCACCTTCTCACCTTTTCTTCTAAAGACACAATATATTGCTGCCAGTGACATGAGAAGTCACTAATTGTGTCAGGACTGTGTGTTCTGTGGTTTAGGGTTGCAGCCAGCCATGCCCTGCAGCTCACTGTGTGCCGTGTGAGCCGTTTGCTTTGCTTTAAATGTGCTGCCACAGTCAGAGGTTGAAGACAGCTGGTGCGTTTCTCACCCTGTAAGTGGTGCCAGAAGCCACCCAAGGCACACTCTGCTGCTGCACCCAGTCTCAGATGTGGAAGAGCTGCTGTGAAGCTTTGCAGCCAGGCAGCATAGGTGGGACATGCTGGTTTTTGACAGCTGTGGTAAACTCCATGAGATCCACGTGAGGCTCTTGCCATAAATAGCTGTGTGCCAGCAGCAGAGCTCTGGTCTTGGTGCATCCTTGCTTGCAGAGACCTGGAGACAAAGCTGATAGATGTTGCTTCTAACGGGGTCGGGTTCTGCCAACCTACATGAACAGAGCAGGGAGTTCTGCCAGCTCTGCTGACTCAGGTGAGCTCTGTGGGAATGCATGACAGCCTTGCTGACCTTGTGCAGAGATGCTCTGGGCATGTTTTGCATGGTGCAGGGAGTTGGGTTTGAGCCTGAACAGAGCTGTAGGTTTCTGTTCCAGATGGTCAGGGTGAGTTCACAGGCACAGTCATTCCTGTTTCTGTTTACCAGCATGTGTCTGGTGATTTCCTAAGAGAAGATACAAGCCTCTGTGCAATCTCCTCCATGTGTGCAAGACATACGTAGTCATAGCTCTGCGAAGGTAAGCTTTTTTTCTCTGTCAGGAGCCAAAATGATGTCCTCTTACTACAGCCTTCATGCAGAATTCATGCAGGTTCAGACATGATGAATATTGGGGAAAACAAGAGGTTGAGCCCGGTGTTGGCAGCTACAGAAAACTGGCAAAGGCAGAAGGGAGGCAAGAGGGCAGAGTGCCGGGGTCTCTGCAGATGGCACTCAGCATTCCCCAGACTGAAAGCAATGCACTCCTCCCTCCCCTGCAGCATCCTGTGTCAGCTCACAGCCACCACCTGCAGAGCTCCGGTGTTTTTCAACCTGCTGCTTTGCTGACTAACACCTCCGCTTTCTGCCTGGCTCATTCATATTTTAGCCCATTTCCTGGGCTTTGAGGTGGCTTCTTCTATTG